TGTTTCATTTTCCCCTTCACCCCTATTCTCAAGTTTATTCCCCAAGAGGTAATTTCTTCGGTGAATATCTTTGGCCATTCACTACCCTTATAAGTTATAAAAACTCGAGTATACATTTTACTTCTTTTAATCTGACTATGGTTTCATTTCACCAGTCACCTATATGATTTCAAGTGATGTTGATTTATGAGGTGGTAGAAATAAAAGGAATCATGTGAGGACTAGATATACAAATAATATATATGAGAATTTCCAGGTTCTCGTCCTATCTGCTGAATACATTTAAGTTACAGATTTATTTTACAGGCTAATTTTTAAGGAGAATGAGATTTAAAGGGTATCTGGAAATTGGTAGTGTCCTTTCAAAACTATTATTTGCCATGGCAGAAAATTATTCTTTTAAAACCTATAAAAGTCTCTCTAAGAAACATTTCATTTTAAAAATCACTTAGCCAACACAGGCAACACAGGACCCAAGGCCTGACAGCAGTCAACAGCTCCACAGCCCCAGGGGCTGGGGTGTCAGAGCTCCCCTGGGAACTCTGCTGCAGAGTGATACCTGCATGACTTAGAGAACCAGAGCACCAGAAGGGCAAACTGCCCACTCTGGAACCACAAAAACTCCTGCTGACACGATGGAAGTGGTGTTGAATTGGCTGTCAGAGCCCAAAGACAGAGGACTTGTATGAAACTTTATGATGAATTAACCTTTGCTCTGTTACAGCTGAACCCTCTGGTCTGTAGTCTCGGACATGTTTGATACTAGCATGGGCTCAAGCATTTCAGTAGGGATATGAAAGAGAACAGGAAGCTGCAGGCACCCCTTGTGGTGTCCACCTCGTGTGGTGTCCACCCCATGTGGTGCTCCAAAAAGAGGTTTAAAGTGTTTCTACAGGTTCTCAGGATGTAAAAAAGAGACAGATAACTGTGGGCCAACCCAACTAATGTCAGCAATGAGACGACGCCCTCTTAATCTCAAGAAAACTGGCAAGGCGGTTAAGTGGTTCTGCTCAACCTTCTATTGAAATTTATTGCTCAGTTGCAAGTTCAAAGGTAAATAGTAGTACTAATTTAAATAATCTCCAATTGCAATTGTACCATTACAGTATTTAGGCTGTCAGTGAATACATACAGAACAACCAAGTGCATTAAGTGGTACTTTTGTGTGATTCAGAAGCATTTAGAAGCCTAAGGAGGCTATAATCCACGCTGCACCAAATCTGGGGGGGCGGGGGGGGAGGGGGAACAAATTATATCAAGGAGGAAAAATTTAAGAGAAAGTTATCATTGGGAAATTCAGTAGTTTTTTTTTTAATTGATAGAGAAAGAAGAGGTCAGAAATGGTCTCCACAGTACACCAGTAACAACAAATCCTAGAAAGAAGACTTCACTTACACTTTCCAAACATGCTTGCAAATCTCTTTGAGCAATATTGAAGAAACAATTATGCTCAGAACTCAAATTTCTCAAGACCTATTACAGATACAGTCCAGGGGCAAAGCAGGCTCTTTAAAGGATTCCATAAACAGAGAAATATTGGTGGGGAATCAAGGGGCATTTCAGAGGCTATTGCTTTCCTGTCTACAAATTGACTCTGTAAAGGCAAAAACACTACAGATCAGGCAAGAACCAACCATATGCTGTGCAGGTGCAGATCACTGATTCTGGAGACGCCAAAGCTGTCTGAGGAAATCATAGTACAAAAAATTAGGTGGGTTTGAAGTGCAGACATCTTTACTTTCAGGACAACTTCACTAGACACAAAATCATTTATGACAGCATAAATCTTCATATTCCGAGTTTACAGTGATGCTGGGTGTATCCCCAGCCCTTGAGATACAGGTTAGGATCTGTGGAGAAATAAAAACCAGTTAACCAAACTTCAGTCCTCAATAAGGGGCTCAGTCTCTCCCACCTCAATAGAGGCCTCAGCTCAGTGACTTAGTTTTACCTACCAAATGCTGATTATGCTACAGAAACCATTAAAGTCTTGGAGAATGGCAATGCTGACACATCTATAAAAATGTATGTACTTCAAATACTGTACAAAAATGCACAATGTAAGAAAATAAAAAAAATTTAAATTATGCGCACTTATGCATAATTTATGTAGTGGCACCCTGAAATCTTTGCCAACTATAAACTTGCAAAAGAAAATTTCTCCTCCACATTAAAAAAGGTAGGAAATGGATTAAATCAGATTGTACTTCTGTGCAGATGAGTAGGACCGGCTTTGTGGCATTTAGAACAGTGCCACCTAGTGGTCAATTCTGCCATTACCATTCAATTTATGAGACCAATGGCCTTTATCTCGTTCAAGCCATTGTAGCTTTAACACTCAGTGTACAAGCTCTTGACTGTACTGCGTTACCATAGCTATGCCTCTTCGTTATGCCTTGAAATGAATTCAGCCCAACCTGGCAAATAACACTACCAGTTAATGACCTGCCAGAGATCAGGGATTTTTAAAGTGACTGGCGAATCCGTAGAATTCATCAAATCCTTGAATGACAGAATATATTTATTTTCTAATATGAAATGTACTGATGATGTGACAGGTATAATTTTTCAAAATAGTAAGTCTTTTTAAGCAGCTTTGATACATATAACTCAAGTATAAAGAAAAACCCAGTGATAGTAAAAGCTAAATTCTATTAAAATATTTGACATGTTTTAAATCCTAGCATTTATAATAAGAAATAAAAATCTGGGAATTCCACTATTATTTAGCTATTACTACATTGACTTTATTGATGTTCTTTGTATATAGAGATTCTACAAGAGTAGTATCTGTGAAAGCTGAGTTGCTTGTTTTCATTTCCCCCCAAATTGTTGCACAATTACCATAACCCATTTTGAAAACAAAATAAAATAGTGTCCTAAAACTGCTGAGATGCTTATAGTAGTTCTAAGTTTAGTTTTTAAAATAGTTTAATTTAAAAAGTATACTAAAAGAACAAAAATGTGGAATAGATCTTTCAGGTTAGATACAGTTCGCTTCTCAGGTAAAATGTGTTCTAATATGTCCTTTGCTTGCAAAGGACAAGCGGGGGAAAATAACAAGATAGGTGTTTTGCTTAAACCCTTTAAAAAGGTAATTGCAAAAATAAAATAATTTTTAAATTGTTCATGTATTGATAATATTGTTTTTAAATATTTTAACCATTATAGAAAATACTCCACATATGTACATACAGTTTCAGAAAACAGTAATTAACTGCAGAATTTTAAGTTCATAAGAACGTATAGGTATATCTTTATATTTTGAAAATATGAAAATATAAGGACTATGATATGTTATATAAGATATAAGAACTATTACTATAAGAACACTAAGAACTATTACTATAAATACACTGAGTTAAGACATGATAATTTTTGAAATGTCAAATCTGATCTAAACAGTGTATTTTAGATGATACCAATAAGATGGGCAAATAACAAATTAGGACTATATATTTAGGTTGTCATATTAATATAAAGAGATTTATGTGTAACATTTAAACATTTACATTAAGACAAGCAGTATCAGTTGGTTTTGAATTATACAAGGAATGTATTACTGATTAAAAAACAATAACAGCTTGTTTTTGTTACTAAGTAGATATAATCTTCAAAGACCATTTAAGCTAACACCAAGAAAAATTTGATTTCATTTTTACTTTCCTATGCAAATATTCCAAAGAGTCAGGTCTAGCTAGACAGGGGCTTTATGCACTGCTAATGACACTTGTGACCCATGAAATTCCCAACTGGATTTAGCCTGTCTGCACTGCAATTTTAAAACGGGTTGGAGACAAGGAAAACTCTCTGTTCTTTTGTGGTCTGTATATATATTTTGACCAACTCAGGATATAAGGTAATGGGGGGTGAGGAGGGGAATCACCCTTGGTTTCATTTTTCACCTTAATGAGGAGTCCCAAGTGACAAATGCTACATACAAATCCATGAGATAAGATGAGCATGAAGGCACAGGTCTGAAACATGAAAAAAAAGAAAAGAAAAAGAATGTTTTTTAAGGTCCTTTTGGGCATTGGATGTTTTTATGATATTTCAAAAGTTATTTTTAACTTTCATGCCTAAATACAAGTTGTGGAACAAGCAGCACTTATTAATACTCACTAATCAAGTGTCCCAGGAGATCAAGAACTCTGGAAAGTGAATACGTATGACATAAGACATATGTTTATGAGAAAATGACTAACCCATTGCCAAATTTCCACTGTGTACATCTCAAAGAGCAAGCCAACTCTATATAATGATATTATACCATCAGCATTGACCTCTCACAGCTCTAGAAAGGACAACAAAGGAGAAAAAGAGTCAAACTGTTTATTTTCACAAAATAGGTGGTGAATATGAATGCTAAATCACTAATTTTTATATCAGGGAGTCCATTCCACTCCAACCAACGTTAAAGATACTGTCTCATACCTGCCACTTCTAACTAAATAAATGTTAGATAATTTCTTTTTAAAATTAAATAACCACAAACATAATTTAAACAGAATGCCTACTGATACCCTAAAAAAGGAAAACAACACAGTTGTTAAAACAGTAAACCCACAAAAATCCAAAATACTAATGCTAGACAAAT